CTATGAGAATGTGATTATGAAAAAAAAACTTCTGCGGTACAACACTCATTTGATGTTGACAATCAGCTGACTGATGTAAACATTGACTGTCCTACTTTCAGCATCCAGTGCAGTATTACGTCATAAACGTGTCAGCGATTCAAGTCACAAACTGTGTTTGTCTCTGTCTATGTCACAAACACGTATAGAGAGCTGACAATCAGCTGATTTTTTTTTTTAATTTAATGATAACATAACACAGATGTTTTGTTTTCTGCATTTATTAATAAAAACAACAACAGCAACAATAATAAACAAAATACACTGTGAATATAATTTTTAATGTCCATTAATTTTTCACTTTTTTCTGCAATTTTAAGCTTTTCTTCTTCTTAGGCGGCTCGACAGAGGAGATTTGGATGGGAGGTTGAACTCTCTTCTTTAGTTTATTTACCTGGGCCACAGTGGGTGGTTTGTTTTCCTTGGTTTGACTGGGTCCTGGGTTTTCATGTATGGTTGCAACAGCTGTCCCATGCGGCTTTTTCTGAGGGTTATGACTGTCTGTATTTTCACTTCTCTTTTTTTCAGTTTTCTCAACCTCTCTCAGAAATTCCTGGTCGTCATCTTTGTATAGGCATTAATTTGCCCAGTGTCCGGGTTGACCGCATTTAAAACACAAATCTCGCTCTTTTCTGGGACAGTCTGGAGCCCAATGACCCAGTTCTTTACAAATAAAGCAAGGGTTGGTTTCCTTACTTTTCTTCGGACCTTTTGGTTTTTCATGGTCTTTTGGGTTGGTACTTGATTTCATCTTGTCCTCAAATTGACTTATTTTGACTTCCAGCTTAGCCAGTTTTCCTCCCATGGCACCAAATTCGTTTGTGACTTCTTCCCTGAAGGCTCTTAGGATGTTAATGATCCCATCTAAGGTCGTCGTTAGGATTCCAAAATCTTCTTTGTTGATGGGCTCTGGTATGTTGTAGAGCCCTAATTCTAATCCAATGGGATCTTGAGTCTCGGGTAAGGCATTGTAAAATCCAAAGTCTTCTCCATTGTTGTTGTTGTTATTCATGTTTTCACCCTTTACTAAATCAACTATCTCTTGAGCCATGATGATGATACTTCTGCATGCACAAACCGAATGAGGACGATTGAAATGAAACACGGGTTTATATATACTCTTTGATATGATATGCTGCACGTGCCTCAGGTAAAAAAAAAAAAAAATTCAGGTAAATTCTAAATCTAGTTTTTTCCAGAAAGATCTGTTATTTTCCAGAAAGATTACTCGCACGTGAGACAATAAGAAAAAAAATCAGGTAAATTCTAAATCTAGTTTTTTTTTTTTTCTAGAAAGATCTGTTAATTTCCAGAAAGATTACTCGCACGTGCCACAGGTAAAAAAAAAATTAGGTAAATTCTAATTCTAGGTTTTTTTTCCAGAAACATCTGTTATTTTCCAGAAAAATTAAAAGGGTATAAATATAGGCACCTTTTGTCATTTTTTGGTCAGTTTTCAATCATGTCAACACCTAACCATATGACTGAGAGAGCTCAAGCTCATCACCAGCATGCTCTAACCTTACATGGATATGACTATATGATGCGATGCATAGAAAGGAATGGAGAAAAACTGACACCAGAACAACAAGAAGTGTTAGAAAGGGCTACTACCATTATCGAGGATACGGATTCATTGTGGATGCAATGTACCGGACTGTTAACCAGCCCAAATATAGGCAGACTGGCAGTCATACATTTTCTGTGCGAGAAGATGAAAACCAGTCTACCAGAAAAACTGTACGGTGTGTCCCTAAGCCAGTTTCAAAGAAAACCTTACAGTCTGATTTGTCACCCACAAGGGGCCAAGGTTTTCCAGCTGTTACAGGAAATCGAAACCATCGAGAAAATATGTATACAGTACGGATTCAAGATGGTACAGATCTCGGAAGTAAACAGAATTCTGGAGCAATGGGCAAAATTGGAAGCAAACGTGTAACTTTTAACACCACCCAGAATCAAATTTATCATTTGCCTCCAGAAGACAGAACAAGTCCCTGGATGACTCTAGCGGCTGATCGGTTTCACTTTCGTCGGAGGATTCAACATTTAGAGACATTGTTTAAACCCATTTTACAGAAACATTATAATGAAAACATCAATGATCTGTGTTAGATGTTATTATTATTGTTGTTGTTGTTTTTTTTTTTGTATTTTGAAAACTGTTTTTGTGAAAAATTTAATAAATAATGGGATCACATTGTTTGTGTATTTGTGTTTTATGTTAAAAAAATAATAATAAAATAAAAAAAAACTTAATAGCAATAATAAAAAAACCAAAGGAGCTGTCAACAAGGACATTCGTCTGCTGTGTATACATGAACATCCGGGTTCTTCATGTCCGTTATCAACAATAGAAATTTAAAAGAAAATCATTAAAAATTACTATGTTGGTGTCAAATTTTCATTTTAAAAGGATTAGACATGTCTAAGGATTCTTACCATATGATTTATGACTCAAAATACCCCTTCTAAGCTTAGATTTCTATATATTTTTTTAACTGTATAATGATGTTCGTGTGTGTGTGTGTGTGTGTATGTTTGTGTTAGCACAGAATTTCTACGGTTTAAAACATAACCCAAACAGACTGTAACTTATGATGTGTGTACAAAATGTTTTCTTTCCTCACACGATTGAGTGGGTTCTAAAACATCAAAGGTAAAAACCTCCTAAAAATCACCAACGGACTCTCCAAACCTTCAGCGGAGGTTCGTTGAGTCTACATTTTTTTTTTTTTTTAAATTTACGATTTTACAACTTGCCAGCTGAACCTAAAGTGTATACAAAATGATTTTATCGTCATAACACTCTTTACATCGCAAAAATAAACGATGAGAAGTCCCGATTTAAAAAATTACTATTTGGCTCTATATATTTCTATGATTTCTATACGAAAAAAATGGCCGACATCCAGGCCCTGTGTGTATAGACCAACCCACGCCGTCTGTATTTCTTCCTTTAGAAGAATTGTTTCGAACTAAAAACTATATCAACCTGTTTCACTATGTCCTATCTCCTAATAAAAAGTGTCTTTTCTTTCTATCTCACTCTAATAAAGCTACACTAGTCTTTTAGGGTATCAAGGTCAGTGCTATCGACCCCCCATGCTTCCACTATTTTACTTAATTTCTAAGTCACCAAATAATGTCATGTATCAAATATACTATCAAAAGATGCAGGAAACTTACCTTTTTTAGACTTGAATCATGATTTAATCCAATTATGAACACACAATAAATATTCCATCAAAATGTACGTATTGACAAACACATTTCGAATTTTACCTCGGCTAGCTCACTAGGTTACATCCGGGCTTTTAGGGTGCTTTCTTTAACGTCCGTGATTAATCAATAAATAGGTCGAGCAGGCGGATCGCAGTGTCATTTGTTATCTTCACGGATTCCGAGAGGACAGAACCATGGCACATCGCGGACCGTTTCCGCACTTTGGTCTTTTGGAGGGACTTGAGGTCGTTATTTACGTGGCCTTGCGGGGTGTACTGACGGGGCAGGAGTTTGCTCGATGGCCAGTAGCGGGAGTGGGGATGATGGATCCGCCACCAGTATCAACAAGAGCGGACAGACGGAGGGCTAGGAGGGCCGGGCGCCCGTATTCAACACCCCCGGCCTTAGGACCGCCACCACCACCACCGTCACCGACTAGCCCAGCTTCGCAGCCATCCCTTGATGCTAGACTGCAGGATATGTATGGAATTTCGCCCCCGGCCTCTCCTGGACCTTCTGTTACCCTGCCAACATCACCACCAAATCCACCAGTATCGCCACCCAGAAGCCCATCGCCCCCACCGCCCATCATTAATGATGTTTTGCCAATCTGGGGAACCCCTGTGGGAACAGAGACCATACAAAGATGTTCGGTTTGCTGGGCTGAGGACGTCAGTACTTACTATATCTGCAGGGAATGCCTGAATAGACCTGCTTGTGAAAGGTAAATACAATTTGTAGATTTTTTCTTTTATATTATTTTTAAATTTAATTTAATTTTTTTTTGGGGGGGGGTGTATAAGATTTTTTTAAAAAAAATTATGAATTAATTTTGAATTTCAATGTTTAAAAATTCAGTGATCTAAAAAAAAAATGTTATATGTATATATATTTTTTAAATTGTAGATGCACCAGAATGCTTGTCAGCAGAGAGATGAATTGCCCCATATGCCGCTATGGAGGCACGAACCCCCCCACAGGAGGTGCAAGAAGAAGAAGAAGGGGAAGAAGACAGGAGTGAGGGAATGCCAGTAACAGCAGGCCAAGACTGAGGCCAATACCATCAGTACCAGTCTTAAACCCCACGGTCCTTTTAAGGACCACCCACATTTTTAGAAAAGATGCCTTCATACAGGTGTATATGTAGAAACGAATGTGTCAAGAAAAACACCAGGTCATATCCCCTTCAAATATTTAAAAAAAAAAAAAAAATCAAATAAAAAAAAAGAAATAAATTAAAAAAAAAAAAAAAACAGCAAAAAAAAAAATAATAATAATAAAATTAGAATTTTTTTTTATCATACCCCCCTCAAATATTTAAAAAAAAACAAACTTAGAATTTTTCAAATTATTTTTTATTACACTAATTTTTTCTTAATCCCCCCCCCTCTAAACTCACAACTCAAATAATAGTTTGGATTTTTTTTTTGCAATTAATTTTTCCCCTTTCATTCACTAAATAGTTTTCTCTTTTAAAAAAAAAAATGTTCTCCCCTTAAATTCACTTGATAGTTTTCTCTTCATTTTTTTTATTTACTAAACTTGATAACACTTAAAATAAATTCTCATTATTCATTTTATTTTTCTGTGGTAAACTCATATTATTTATTTAATTATAACTCATCTCACACACACATTTTTTCTTTGGTTGTATATTTTTAAATCATAAGAACACACCTGTTTTTGTAATATTATTTTATTAAAACAACAACAACAACACATTACAGTGCAAGGCATTATGTATGATGAAAAATGTACACATGTTTGTCATAAGTGTGTGCAAATTGTTCAATATATTGTCTATAATGAGTCCAATTTCCCCCACCTAAATTACATCCAATCTTGTAAGGAAAACCAAATGTTTTATAAGGTAAATTTCCCAATTCTTGTAAGCAGGTCTGAAACCAATTCTCTCTGTTTTGGGGGGTATCCTCATAAGTGGAGATTCTTTTAGGTCTGTGACTAGCTCTGCCATAATCCCATTGAGCTAGTAAACAAATGACCACTGGTGTTTGTGAGGTAAACACCCTAATAGTTCCTGGAATTCCTCTATCTTCTTCTACGGCTAAATTTCTAGTCCCTATAGGTTTGCGAGTCGCATACACATTCGCTTGGGGGAATTTCTCCGCAAGACTTTGACTCAATCCATGAGCTCTGACTGTTAAACAGTTACACTGGTGTACAATAACTTCTGTATCACTGTTGAATAAATCTCCTTCCATCTCCTGGAGACTCATGGTTCAAACTAAATGTTCATGTCAAGTCATTTCCCTTTTTATAGGCAATAAAAAAAATGCATTGGTTTAAAAAAAAATCATTTTTTTTTAAATTGTCATTATCAACCAATTTTCCTCAATTTATTTATTTTTTAAAATCCTTTTTTTTTGGCTGAAGCTGTCACTCCCTAAACAAAATAGGCAAATCTAACAAAATGGCAATGTATTTGTACAATGCTTAGTATTTATTTTATTTTTTCATTGTATTTATGTATACAAACAACCCACATCCAAAAAAAAAAAAAATAAATTCTATGGTTAAAATTACCTACTTTCTAAAAAAAAAAAAACACACATCTTTTTCATTTTTTTTTTAAAATTGTATTTATGTATACAAACAGCCCACATCCAAAAAAAATAAATTCTTTTGTGTATTGATAAATAAAATGTATGGTTAAAGGGGGATAATCTACTTTATAAAATGACAAAAAAAAAACAAAAACACATCTTTTTCATTTTTTAAAAATGATTTTTTTTTTTTTTTTAGATCTAACAAACAAAAACAACAACAAACAATTACAACACATTTTGATAGAAACATTGACAAATTTGTCCATGACCCGTAGGTAATTTATGATAAGTGTCTTTAAACCAACGGGCGACAAAATGATCCCTTTGTAAAGCCGTACTCCGGTCAAACGGGAATAACCATTCATCTGCTTTTTTTCTCTTCTTGTCTCTTTGATGTAAATAATACACGCAATATTGTCCACACACATCTGAATTCCAGTCTTGATATCGATACGGATTATAAATCCATTGGTAAGCATGACGCTGGATAAAGTCTTGAATTTCTCGATGTAAGGGAGGAAATCCATAAGAGTCAAAATATTCCACCACTGGACTGCTCACATATAGACACAACCAGTGTTCTCCAGGTCGATCTTGAGGATCCGTATTGACCACGATGGCTTTTTCTCCAGGTCTTAATTGATCCGGTAATAAATCTAAAGGGTACACTCCACCAAAAGAACTCTTTAATTCTCTGGATAAGACTTCTCTTAATTGTCCCGTATCCATTAGTAATCAATACTCACTTCTCTCTGTTTGTTAATTTCTAATAGGTTATCAAATTCTGCATAAACCACACAATTTAAGGTGTTAGCCGTGTTGTTGGTAAACTGAACTTCTACTCTCAGATTTCCAGTTTCTATGATGTGGAATTTATCCGACTGCGCCTCTTGATCTTTGGTGAAATCCCAGCCCCACAGAGTGTATCCGTTTTTATACTCTTCCAGGGTGATGTCTGGAGCCCAGTCTTCTCCTAATTTTCCCAGGGCTTGATACAGACTGAGATAAGATCTCAGATATAAATCGTCATTGAAATTGGGCTCAAAACAACGAGTACTCATGGTCTCTCCGTTGATACTGACATCTAATTTCTTAATCCCAAAGTTTTGGAAATGAAAGGGATTTTTAGTTTGATCTCCATTAAATGCTGCATTCTCCACAAAGCCTAAAATGAGACGTTTAGGCATCTGTCCTTGAAACAGATGATCCGTAATCTTAGATTGGGTCCCTGTGGCGATGGTAAAGGTTTTCACTTCTACTCTTCTCAATGTATATTTAGCTCTGTGGGTGCTCAAACTTTGATTAATGGCATTCATCATGACCGCCGTGGGTTTTACTTTTCTCACCCACAAGACCATACTCAATATTTTCACTTTTCCAGTACTTCCTGCCTTGATCATCATGTAGAAAGCGGGTCTAGCTCGATTAAATCGCAAACGGACGTCCACTCCATTGGGTAGAAATCGATCTTGTTGAAACAAATCCAAATGTAAACCATCTAGCAAACTGATTTTCTTACTCGCAGCAATAGCTTGGTGTCTTTTTCGGAATCCTTCGTTTTTAGAATTGGCCGGTAACGCTGTGAGGATGGGTTCGTTAATGGTCACCGTGTCGGCACCACCATTTGCAGCTGGAGTTACATCAAAGGTTTTATTTTCAGCTACACCAAGAGCCTCTAACCCCACTTCGTCCATGTGTCCTGCCGTATCTTTTTCCCATAGACTACAGGCCCTCGTCTGTGTCTTTAAAGTTCTGGGTCGGTAAGACAATAATTTCTCCAGATAAGCTTTGTAAGGATAGGTATCCGTCCCCGGAGTCACTATTTTGCCATTCAGACTGACATCGATTTCCGTAAACATCGAATGTAAGATATTATTCACAGGGCTCGAAGTGCTGTTAGCTCCAGTTAGATTACTTCCATCGTCTTTGGTAAATTTACATACCATTTGAACATAGGTTTGAGATAAATCTAGATAGTGATCTCCTTGTCCTTTAATTTCAAATTCGATAGGAGCGGTGTCGGAATCTAAAGTACTGGAAATGGGGTAATATTCTTCCCATTTAGAGTCTTCTAAAGCAATATTAGTCGGAGGGACTTCAAACAATTGTAAATTGTTCATTCCACACGCACAGGAATCGGGTTGCAACATGATGTTTCTACTAGGATTTAGTATTCACAAATGAACCTTCTGTTCAATGGACTGTCCTATTTATAGTCTCTCTCTCAGTCAAACACATCCAAAGGACGTTTTCTTTTAGGATTTCCTCCTTGTGTTTTCCTTTTTCTCCTAGGACCTCCTCGGGCCAACATAGGTGTATTTCTTCTTCTTTTCTTAGTACTTCCCAGATTCATTCTTTGCTTCACCATTCCCGAGGTATTTTTAAGAGCTTGTACTCCATGAGTTTTGACTGCGTCTTTTAAAGATCTCTTATTTTCCAGTACGTCTAACCCCGTTCTGGCAGCAGCAGTCAAGGCGTGTTTAGCTCCCGTTTTCAGTAAATCAGTAAAAAATCCTCGGCCTCTCTGTCGTCTTCTTTTCCTTCTTGTTATTTTAATCACCATTCCCGATCCCCTCTGTTTTTTCATTCTCTTTCTTCTTCTTTTCTTAGTACCTCCTAGATTCATTCTTTGTTTCACCATTCCCGAGGTATTTTTAAGAGCTTGTACTCCGTGAGTTTTGACTGCGTCTTTTAAAGATCTCTTATTTTCTAATACGTCTAACCCCGTTCTAGCAGCAGCAGTCAAGGCGTGTTTGGCTCCCGTTTTCAATAAATCAGTAAAAAATCCTTCCCCTCTTTGATAGTTTTGGGGTGGATAATAGGCTGGTGGTGGTGGTGGTGGTTGCTGTTGAGCCCCTCCCAATAATCCACCCACTAGATTGCTGACTAAGGGACCTGCTACTTTAAATAGGGATCCTAAAAAACCGTGTCCTTTTTGACGTAATAAACCTCTATGATAGACAAACTGTCCGTGTCCTCTTTGTCTCAGTAATCCTGGATGATATTGCATGGTTCATGTCTCTTGTTTAACTGACCTTTCTGTCATCAGGGACTTCCTTTTATACCCTTTTTTAGGGCTGAATACAATACAGACAGCAGACCAGACAAGCTACCACACCCAATAAGATGGAACACAATAACGGTACATTCATCTCAGTAGACTTTTCTGAAATGAAGTTTCACCACTGATTTGCCACTTACAAAGGGCATGGGAGTCCCTAAAGGAGTCATGATGTGAATCTCAATGGTATCGAAATGTTTTTTACTTAGTTTCAAATATTCCGCTCGAATGGGTTCCCATTTGGCTTGTTTTGAATCCTCCAAATGAAATGTACAAGGCACCACTCTTAATAATTTCAAGGCATTGGAGCCTACCGTCTGGGGTTGAATCAAGTCACAATAGACATACATGGATTTCAGATTTTCATATAAATCCACAGTATTGTTTCCCAAGTAACTAATGTTGATCCATTTGGTCATGTTTTCTGTATCGTTCTGAAGAATGACTTTCTGACTGTCCATGCCTAGCTTATAAGCTAAGGATGTGGGGAAACGAATGCATAAGGGAGTAAGCATTTTTTCATTGATTTCATACATCACTCGATCATAGGTCTCGTAATATACTAATTTCATAGATTTTTCTTCATTTCCCTCACTAAGGGTTTTCCATATTTTTTTCAATGATCTCTGTAGTCCTAGACTTATTTCCTCTGTTAAAGCCTTGGGGTGAACATAAGGCCCGGATCTGAAGTGAATTCTTCTAATTTCCATCTTGCTATCTAGTTCAACGAGTGCAGGCCGTTTAGTATGGGCCCAATCGAGCAGTACAGGACATTGACGTAATGGCATTGGGTCTAAGGTTTTCATTTTAAATCTGCCATAAACATTGGGGTTTTTGATATGGTGAGCAAAAGACTGAGGGATCAGGATGTCAAAATAAGCCTCCTCTTCTGTAATGTTTTTCAATGAATTGGGATACATCATTTCTGTTAAAGCCACCTCCCATTCTCCGTCGGTTAAATCGACTGTTTGTGGCAATAACGTTTTAAATTGGGCTGTCGTATTCCCCTGAAAAGAGGCCATGGACCCATCACTGGGTAAAGTCATGTAAAAACTACTGCTCTCGCCCATGTTCTATCTACTACTGAGCAGAAAGGACCTATGACCCTTCTATTTATAACAACACTTGTATTTGCTTTTAAACAAAATTTATTGGTTCAATTTTTTTTTTTTACACATCTTTTTCTTTGGCTTCTTCTTCTTCTTCTTCTGATCTGTAATCAATGACTCTGTTCAAAACCCCAGATCCTTCCTTTTCCAAATTGTTTTTGATGTGGGAAAAGGGGATGCGACAATACACGTACTGCTGAACGCCGTGATAATCTGGAAAAGTCAGTTCTTTTTTCTCCATCTTGAAAAAATGTCTCATACATTCTTCTATGTCAGAGTACCAAAGACTTTCATTCAGAACCATGGTGATGGGTGTCACAGCATTCCCATGATGAGTACAGCTGACCCATTTGTATTGCTCGTAATGTTGGTGGAGTCTCACCCTCACTCTAGATATTTTGGGATGCGGGATTTTGACTCTTTTTTTCCAGCCACACGTTTTCCAGGCAATATCCTGGATGATTTTCATAGAAATCCATGATCGCTCCTACTTTAGTTTT